GAAATCACTCAATAAGTCTGTTATTCTTCTTATTATTTGAGCATCAACAAGATATAGGTAGAACTATAAATTATGGGATCACCCACAGAGAGTATGAGGGCTTCGAATGAAAGATCTGTATACTAGCATAAGTGGTGAGAGCAGGGGAAGAGATTACAAAAGAGACAGAGTAGTGACCAGAGAACGAGATTACCCAAAGAATATAATGTCCTAGAAAATAAAGTAAGCAAACTTCCATAGAAGGGAGAGATTAATCTGTTCTGTGCCACTAAAGATCAAGATGAGAACTTAAAAATACCCCCTGGATTTGGCAATATAGTAGTCATGACTAAGACTGTAAAATGGGGACATGAACAGGCACCACCACATATGTTAATAGTGAGTATTAAATGAGAAATCCATACTAATTCCTTAGAATATATTAATCATTCAAAAAAATATAAGATATTTTCATTACTATTATTATCAAAATTATGTATATCATTTACATCACTGGTTCCAGCCTGTGTCTTACCCTAGTACAGTGGTCGGCAAACCACAGCTCGCGAGCCACATACGGCTCTTTGGCCCCTTGAGTGTGGCTCTTCCACAAAATACCACGTGCGGGTATGCACGTACAGTGCGATTGAAACTTCGTGGCCCATGCGCAGAAGTTGGTTTTCGGAAAGGAGATAGATGAAACAAGTATACAAGATGAGTGTGGATGGAAGAGTTGGAAGGGGTTGACCTCAGCGAACGTACCTCAATCAGATTGAGGACATTTTTAGCAAAGGCCAGCTTAGGAGTACCCTAATTAAGTTAATAACAATGTACCTACCTATATAGTTTAAGTTTAAAAAATTTGGCTCTCAAAAGAAATTTCAATCGTTGTACTGTTGATATTTGGCTCTGTTGACTAATGAGTTTGCCGACCACTGCCCTAGTATATAAATGTTAGGATAGAGTCTCTGTCTGGTCCTACTGTCTTTATTTGCCTTGATGCATTTTCACCCACACCTTGAGGTATGCTACTAGGGGGTCCTTCTCTCTCTCTCTCTCTCTCTCTCTCTCTCTCTCTCTCTCTCTCTCTTACACACACACACACACACACACACACACACACACACACACACACACACCACAGACTATCCTACAAGCTTACTTTTCTTTTTTCCAAGGGCAATTGTTTCCCCCTGCCTTCATACTCCTCCCTATCTCCCTATCTTATTAAAGTAGTGTAGAATTCACCAATAATTAGCACTCCATGTGGATTCAAAGGCCAAGGCCAATCCTGGGTCAATACTGAGTCACATGTTCATATCCTTTAGGGCTAGGAGAGATGCCTGGGCCCCTCTGGCTTCTATAGGAGAGGCAGAGCTCAGCTTTCTACCAGGATTGCCTCCAAGTAAGAAGTGGACTGGATTCTTAGCAGCCAAAGACCAGTGACCAGTGTACCCTACACTCAACTAATTCCAGCATTCCAAGGACATAACCAACTCAACCAAAAGATATGTTGTTCTACCTTTAACTATATTTCTAAATTTTCTTTTTAATTTGAAGAGGTACCAAATCCATTTGGTCACTTGTTTGTAAGCCATGTGAATTCTAAGTGAAAAACTGGTCCTGTGGTTCTGATTCACTACTATATGAATCATATTAATGCTATTTGCAAAGATCTGTAGGGAGCCCCAAATTATACCTTTCAAGGTAAGAAGTATAACTTGTACCAAGAATCAAATTATTCAAACCCAAAACAATCCTGTGTTCAAGCTGAAAATTTGTTCCCCCAGCTTCTCTAAGCCTTGTACTGTGAGTCATTCTAGATGACTAAACCTCCCAATACTTGAAAGCTTAATCATTTAAACAAAAAACTTTAGAATTTTAGTGATGTGAGACAAAAATCTTCCTAAATAAAACTATTTCAACTTCCTAAGCAAGGCAAAACGAACATAATTTTACCTTCTCTTAGAGACTCAGGGTCATCCATAAAAATATCAGTTAATGGCTCATTCTAGAATAGATTTAAGACTCCAAGGGTTATTTAACCCTACCCTAAATGGCCCAGATGGTTGGTTTTGAGTTCTTGGGACTATTATAGTTTTTCTGTCTCTTTTCTTATTGGTACCTGTCACTTCCCGCCACTAGAAGTTTGCTGATCTACAGTAGCTTCTTCCACATTAAACTATTTGTTGCTTTTTAAATCTGAGAGCTTAGATACCCTGTGAGAGTTCGTATATAGTACAAATTGATTCTAAATGGGGCCCTGAGAGATTCCACATGTGAACAACCTAAAGTTGCTCAGATGTTGTTTTTTTAAAATCAGTAAAGCATAAATAAACAAAACAAATGAAACATTTTGTGACATCCACTCTGGGTTCTCTGATGTTTTGTTGGTTTTTCTTACTTTGTGATTTTGGCCATGTCCTATAACCACGAGAAGACAGGCTATGGCCATGAGAAATGGGGGGGCAGGGGGGGAGGTTCTGGCAAAGGAGACAAGGCCTCAGATGTGCTTCATTCTCTCTTTATCATCAGGGGCATCAGCCGGCTGGAAATAGAACCAGTGGCTTGGATCAGCAAATAACTGAAATACCTCAGGAAAGACTTGGGACAGAAAGGCCAGGGCAGTCAGAAACAGGTACCCTCAGAAATATTTCCTCATTCCTCACAAAGAATTACTGAAGGCATGAGATCTTGCCCCGACCCTGGGACCTGGTTGGAAGAAGCAGCTTTGTTCCCTGGGTTTGGCTGGATGGGCCAGCTCCCCAGGGGAACAGAGGGCTGTCAGACACCGCACTCCCATCCCAAGAACCGGCTCGCAAGCAGGGCTGCTCCTCTGCCGCCTCTCCCTGCAGCGCACCACCTGGCCCCAGGATTTCTCTGTACTGGGAGAAACCTCTGCCCAACATTTCAGTCAATCCTGGGGAGCATTTTCAATAGGTGAGTGAGCTTCCAACTATTTAACTCCTTAAACAGCAGAAATCTCAACTGTTCCCTAGAGTCTGTGCTTTGGCTCCGAGGAAGCCCTTTCCCAATAATCTCCTGACACAGGGCAGCTGAGGCACTGGCCATCCGTCAGCACCAAGGCTAAGGAGCTCTTGTCTTATGGCCTGCTTCTCACATCCCCACCTTCTGCTCCCCAGGCAGGCTGGCTCTTGAGCTTCTTTCCAGCCTCTTCCCTTGGGCAGCTTCCAGCTTACTTGACCTATTTTCTACCAGCTCAAAACAGAGGGCATAGAAAAGTGCTGAGTCACTATAGGGTCTGTGTTGTTTCCCATTTATAAAGCCCAATGTTAAAACAAAATATCACTTTTTAGCGACCCCACACCTCATAGGTTTAATGGTCCATTCTAATTAATAATCAGCTACATTTCTTTCTTTACCTTCTTTCCCTAGTGCTAAGAGAAAATAAAGTTCTTCTCTTTCAGTAGATTCTAGATCAGGGGTGGGCAAACTTTTTGACTCGAGGGCCACAATGGGTTCTTAAACTGGACCGGAGGGCCGGAACAAAAGCATAGATGGAGTGTTTGTGTGAACTAATATAAATTCAAAGTAAACATCATTACATAAAAGGGTACAGTCTTTTTTTTTTTTTTAGTTTTATTCATTTCAAACGTAGTTTGCCCACAGCTGTTCTAGATCCTGTATTTATAAATATCATTAGAGGCTATACACTTTCACAATGATAGGAAAAGTAAAGATGTTCTCTATTTACCCAATCAGGACAGAACTATTTCTCTGACTATTACTAGAAAGTTTTCTCCCTTCTCCATCTTCAGCTCAGTGTCCTGGGTCTCTAGGTTCATAGTAGCTATTCAAGACACATTCATTGGTTGAAAGAATGGCTAGAGATGGATAAATGTCTCCACTTTGTCATCTTCCAGGGCATCCCCCAAACTTGTCAGAGAACCCTCACAATGCTTCTTGGAGGCTCTTCTTCAGGGACCCATGATCAAAGGGGCCTCTCTGAAGCCTATTTGAGGTTCATACAACGGAATTTAATTATTAAGACACTTCTATTTGCATCTTTGTTTTGTTTGCAGAAGAACTGGATGAAAACCTAGCTCCCTGGGTCCTGGGGAGAAGTTCTGAGTGAATGGTTGGACAATTTTGTGTTTCTAGTACAGCTCAGCTCTCAGGCACCTTGGCATCCACTTGGCCCTGGAATGGCTGTGCACAGCCAGGGTTCTGTCAGGAGTTCAAAGGGCTCCTCCAGAGCTCTGAAGCAATTAAATTTGGGACTTGCTCTACTTTGTTATGAGCCTGTAGGATTTTTTTATCTTTTCAGAAGTCTTGGCAGCTATTGGCCCCTCTTTAGAGAACATCCTCCCTCGAACATTACAAGATGCTACAGCCCACTGAGAACTACAAAGGCAATGGCCCTGGTTACTGACCCCACAGTATGTCAGAGGCCAGGGACTCAGTGTCACAGGCCAAACTACCCTAGTGAGACTCAGCGGCTGCAACTTCCCTAGTCTCCCAGCTCCTCCCGTCTGTCTCTCCCTTTTCTGGAGCTGAGCCAGGCTTCCAGGGGACATGTCCGCCTCGCCGTGGGACTCCTTGTTAACATTGCTTCTTTTCTCTTGTTCTTTGCTCCAGTCCCACTGCAGCTTCCTATCCCAGCATTGCCAACCAGATCTGATCCCACTCCTGATATGGCCTTCCCAAGAGTGGGCTTTGAGCCACGAGAAGACAGGCTGTGGCCATGAGAAATGGAAGGAGCCTCTCCAGGACAAAAAGAGGCCACATCAGTAACTTGCAGTGCTGAGCACAGGGAAAGTGCTCTTACAACTGTTACTGTTCCGATTATTGGTTGCATAGTCTTAAAGTGACTCCCCACATATTGCTTCTCAGTAGCAAGGGAGAGAAAAAACAAACACAGCAACCACACCATGGGGAAAGTGTATAACACCTTGGCTGGATGATCAAAATCAACTTTATCTATAACCTCAATCTAACCATGAAGAAACACCAGGCAAATACACAATGAGGAACATGCTGTTCAAACAACATGGTGAGTGGTGCTCCCTTTCTCAACACATATACTAAAATTGGAATGATACAGAGAAGATTAGCATAGCCCCCCTGCACAAAGATAACACACAAATTTATGAAATTTTAAAAAAATGTGTGTAGGGGGAATGAGGGATCAATGTCATTAAAACAGATTAAAGGAAGCTAAAAATACATGACAAGAATATGCAATACTTGACCCTAGACTGGATCCTGTACTAGGGAGGGGGGAGGGGATGCTTTAAAGGCCATTGACAAATCAACAAAATTGATATGTGAAGGCTAGATTAGACAAACGGACTTTGTTCATATTTTCATATATTGATCTCAGTTTGAATATTTAGTTAATAGAAAGACTTTAGACCTGGCAGGAAATTCTCCAAATATATTTTTCAATGGGTGGTAGGTTTTAAAGTGTCTCTAGGCTTTCTGGGATGGATGGCAGACAATTAGCCTGCCTCTTGCCTGAGAAATCAGACTAATTACTGGTGAGGCTTGGCTAATGGGGTCTTTTGTGAACTCCCTCCTTAAATGAGAAATCTTTAACTTTTCACAAAAACTCAATCTCATTTGTGCTGCTGATTCCTAATATTTCTAAATAATTGCTTGGCCTCTGGGCTTGTGTAGTCAAATAACCCAAATCAAACCAAGCTGCTGTGGCAGAAGAAGTTTTTATTTTGTGTGACTCTACCGGAAGAAACAGACTGAGTTTGGAATCATCATAAGCAAAGACTAGCTGCAGCTCACTCCGGAGCCAGTTTCGTGGACCTGGGCTGAGGTGAGTTTACCCTGTTTGGGCTGAAATGGCTTATTGAGATGCTCACACCGTGAACACTGGCATGTTTCAGAACTCACAGTTTGTAAGACGTAGGCTAGTCCCCTGACCCAAGTCAACTGCCACACGTGGACAGGCTCAGGGTTCTGTGTCTAAGGCAGAGGGGACAAAGTCCAGGGAAGCCAGCTCACTGTCCTGCATCAACCTAGAAAGAAGGCAGAAGAGTCGGAGACGGTAAGAGGTGTTTGAGCCTGGAACCTCTTAGTAATGACAGGGTCATCCACCAGCAGGAGGTCCTCTGAGGGAGGTGACCTTGAAACAGAGATACATGTCAACGATGATAGGAGGAGAGGGAAGAACAACTCAGAGCTTGTCAGGCCGGAGAGGATTCCGAAAGTGGCTCGGAGCTGAGGTGTACCCTACACAGTTGGCTGGAAGGACCTGCTCCAGCAGCACCTCCAGTGACCTTGAAAGGCAGATGTGGAATATTCTATTAGCCCTTTCTTCAGAGTTCTTCCTCATCAAGGATTTTCACAACTCTTGAAATACAGTAAAACGGGAATGCTTGGTGCCTTTGGATTCCTTTTATAATATTAAATTGCACTGAATTGCCTGCTAGCTAATTCTGAGCTCTTCCTCTACTATATTTTCACTAGCTCCACTGGTTCTTTCCAGAAACTTTGAGAAGGGATAGCTGTCTGTCCCATAGCTTCTTGGGATATTCTGGCTCCCCACTCTATCCTGAGGAATAGAAAACATTTTCTCTTTTTGCCTTAATAAAGGTACCATTCAACTTTTTAAAAAATTGGTAGAAAACTTCAAAAAGATAAAACAAAGAGGTACACAAATGGTTTCAGGACATAGTTTGTATTCTAATGGGAGTTATGGCAAAAATTAGGGTCCAGTAAACTCCAGGTTCTTTCCCTCTCTTCCACTCCTCCACTCAGCCTAGAACTTTCTGAACAAAATCCTCCTTAAATCCTTCAGCATCTTTCTCCTGCTCCATTCTGAGCACATGCATATTCCTCCAGGAAATAAGCATGGACAGGGGCCTCAGTCATCACAGGTAAGACTAAGTGGGTCATTAAAGGTCCATGCCTAGTCAGAGAAAGGACGCTTCTCATTTCTCAATGACCAGGGTTCTCACATGTGTTATGCACACAGACTACCTGGTAAATGTGTTAAAATTCATATTTGGGGGCCTTTCTTCCACATTCACTAGGTCTGTGGTAGGGCTCAAGAAACTGCTTTTTTTTTTTTTTTTAGAGAGAGAGAGTAAGGGGGAGCAAAACATCGATGTGAGAGAAACATCCATCCATTGCCTCCAGTACTGGGGATTGAACCCCCAACCTAGGTATGTACCCTAACCCTAACCGGGAATCGAACCCGCCATCTTTTGGTATACGGGAGGCAGCTCCAACCAACTGAGCAACCAGGCTGGAGCTCCTTGGTGTTTCTTGAACAATTTTTGTTGTATTGTTGTTAATCCTCACCTGAGGATATTTTCCCATTGATTTTTAGAGAGAGTTGGAAGGGAGGGGGAGAGACAGAGAGAGAGAAACATGGGGATCGAGCCTGCAACCGAGGTACCCTTGACCAGAATCAAAATTTGGACCCTTCAGTCTGTGGGCCAATGCTCTATCCACTGAGCAAACTGGCTAGGGCAGGAAACTGCATTTTTTAACAGTCATTCTTCGGTAATTCCGATTCAGATAAAAAGAAGACACTTTGAAAGCTTGTTTTGGAGCTACAGCATCATAATGACAGTCTTAAAAAACTGGTACCAAGTCCTAACAGAAGTAAAGGGTCATTTCTCTACCCTTCTCTAGACCAGAATGGAGTCATCCCCCGGATCTGGAACTTCAAGAGCTGCCCTGGCTCAACCTCCCAGTCCACCGTGGCACTCTGCGAGCCCGAGTTACCCACAACAGCTGCTGACTCTTTTAAATGATCACAGGGGAGTCACATTCTACAGCCTCCCATGCAAAGCCATCCAGTGTGTAATCACCCTTCAGTTAAGTTCTCCCTTACATTTAATCAGTTCTCTCACTGCAAGACTCATCAACTCTGGCTCTGTTCTCTGTGGAGATGGAAAAACAACATTACTGTGCAATTTCTGACCCTTCACTGAATCACAGAAGAGATTGCAGATATTATCTGGCACCACCCCTCTACCCTACCTATGAGGATGTTTGTCCAAAGACGACCTGCATTCTGTGGGTTTTAGTTTACAGTTCCTGCAAAACATCTGAAGAAAGCTGTCCAGGAGGTAGTTAGCTACACAACAGCCCCCATTCTGTAAATTTTCTATTCTACTGTGTTGCCTTAATTTGGGAGTGGGGTGAGAGCACCCTCTTAGCCTTTTCTGTTTCAGAATATACATATGAACTCCTCCATCATTCCTCCAAAACACATGTTTTCCAATATTATAATCATTTTAACTGCTTGTCTTCAGATTTTTCTTTGCTCCAAATAGGGTTGCCAGACATGGCAAATTAAAACTCAGGACTCCTAGTTAAATTTGAATTTCAAATAAACTAATAATTTTAGTAAATATTTCCCATGCAATATTTGAGTCATGCTTATACCTTTTTAAAATTTTTATTGTTGAGAGCATTACAGATGTTGTCCCCTTTTGCCCCCATTACTCCCTCCACCTGGTTCCCACTCTGCCCCAGGCCTTCACTACCCTATTGTCTGTGCCATGGACAATGCATATATACATATAAGTTCTTTGATTACAAGATACAAGGCCAGCACACAAAAATAATTTAATTTCTATTAGCAATAAACAATTAGAAACTAAAAGTTTTAAATACCCATTAGAAAATGAAATCTCAGTTATAAATCTAATATTCAGCTTTAGATTGTTTTTCTCAAGCTCCTTCTGTACTAAGGCATTTGAAAGTTCTAAACTAAAGTTCAAAAACAGACAAAACTAACCTATGATGATGAAGACAGAAAAGTGTAGTACCAGGGTAGGACATAGGGGACTTGTGGTTTCTCTGGTAGTATTCTATTTCTTGACTTGTGTAATGATATGTTTACCTTTTGATAAATCACTAGCATAAACAATTATGAGTTGGATACTTTTCTGAATATATGTTCTACATCAAAAAATTTTAAATAATAAACAAAAATATAGAGTGTTATCATGTCTTGAAACATTTGTAAAACTACATTTTGAAATTGCAGTTTACATTTTATCTTAACCAATTAAACATTAGCAGAATGATCTGAGAAATATATTGGTTTAATTTAACAAATCATTAGATTTCCATAAAATTTGTTTCACAAAATTTGCATCATTCTCACCCGTATTTTCCTCATCATTATTACCTAGCAATGACAGTAACTGTTGTCACATAGCTAACACTAATCATCCTTACAAAGCTTGAAGACGCTTTCATTTTGGGGTAGGTATTCTTAGGGTCAGAGCATTGGTATAATTATCCCTCATCTACACAAGGTTCATCTTTTGTTTTGTTTCCAACATCACAATTCCTCTATTTCCCTCTCTGTCCTCTCCCTGCCCCCAAACATAGGTATCTGAGATTATTCCTTGGATACTAATGTATTCTTTAAAATTATAAAGGGTACAAAGTTTCAGTTATGCTGGATGAATAAATTCAGGATATCTGTACAGCATGATGTATATAGTTAATAACACTATATTGTATACTTGAAATTTGCTAAGAAAGTCGGTCTTAAATGTCTTCACCACAAAAATAATTATATGAGGTGATGAATATGTTAATTAGCTTGGTTGTAGTAATAATTTTGCAATGTTTATGTGTATCAAAACATCACATTGTACACTGTCAATATATACAATTTTTGTCAATAATGACTCAATGAAGCTGGAAAACATTATATAGTTTTTAATGTGTACAAATTTTTAGCTTACATAAATGGTTGGTGCAATGGATCTTATTCTTTTTTCTCTTTTACCCAACACCATGGTTTTTGAATAATTACCTCTGTTGCTATGTGCACATCTAGTTTATTTCTGACTGCTCCAGAGTTCACTCTGTGTGTACCTACTTTTTATCTGTTTTTTCTTTTGTGATAAACAACAAAAAACACTGCAAACCTACCCCTATACCAAAAGTTTCTTTGGAATATATCCAGGGTTGGGAAGGCTGGGTCATTAAGTATGTAAATTTATCTTTGCTAGGTACTGCTAGCATACTGCTTCTAGAAGTGTCTCTCGTTATGTGTTTTGTTTGTATTTCGCTGATTGGTAGGGAGCATTTCTTTTATACACATATTAGTCATTTAGATTTGGGGTTCTATGAATACCTATTCATATTTCTTGCACATTTTTCTACTAGGCTTCTAAGTATTCTTTACTGATATAAATTAGTTCTACCTAACGCACAAACTACGAAGTAAACAATTGATAAATTTGATATCAAAAGTAAGCATTTCTTTTCCAGGAACAATAGGAGAGGCAACAAAGTAAACAGATAACCACGTGGAGGAAGATATCTGCAGCATCTAAAACATCAGAGGAGTCTCCATTCCACCTTATTTAGCCTTCCCAACGACCCCAGAAGTCAGCATCATTTTAACTCCCATTTTATAGATGGAAAACCTGAGACCAAAGAGGCACAAATAACTTACCCATGATCAAATCGATAATCAGAAGATGAGAGCAGACTTAAATCCAGATTCAACTGAATGGAAACTCTTTGCTCTGGGACTTGTACTTTTTGGATCCATGTGTAAGGAGCTTGGAAGTTCCACTCCATCCTAACAAGAAGTTGAACAGACTGCAAAATCATCAGCTCTTCTTGGATCCCTGAGAGAGGGGAGGACACAAGGCCAAGTGCCGCCCTCCAGGTTGGAGAGAAGGGGGACTACGCGGAGTTGTAGCTTCCTGATGAGATTCACAGTGGAAGCAGCTGTGGGAGTCAGCGCTGGGGAGGAACACCTGGCCTGCATTTGATGCAGGAGGCTCGGTGTGGACAAGTCTGAGAGTTAGAAGCTCAGAGGGGCCTGGTCATAGGGCAGCCCCGATGATATTGTGTGATTTACCTCAGGAGCTCAATCAGTTTCCCACAGTAAGTAGCAGAGAAAAATCCCCTCGGGCTTCCTTCAGGAGAAGGGAAAAGGAACCATTGTGAAATATACCAAACCACTCAGTTCTATTAAAAAGGCCTGCCCTCAGGAGAAACTAATTAACCAGAGCCTAGCGGAGGTGGGGAATGCATTTACAGGCTCCAGTCCACTCTAGCCACCCTGTTCCACCCAAGTGGGGAGGGTAAAGGGCGAAACTTGTGAAGGTCACAGTCCAGAGGCACAGGTTCACTCATAGACTGAGCAGAAATTATAGGGCCATAGAAGGCTTCCCTCCCCCAAATCACAACTAAAGGCCTATTTACAGCAGCTCCTCCACCCAGTGCCTCACAGCAGACTATCAAGGGGCAATTTCAAGGCATACCAAAAGGAAAAAAACAAGCAGACAGACAGAAAGCACCTCTTTAGAAAGGACAAAGCAAGCATCCGAACCAGATAGGCAGGATGCTGGAAGGATCAGACAGGATTGAAAGTAACTATGATTAATATGCTAATGGATAAAGTAGACAGCATGCAAGAACAGATGGGCAATGTACACAGAGAGAGAGAAATCCTTTAAAAGGACCAAAAAGAATGCTAGAGATAAAAACATGGTGGATGGATGAGTTTTTTTAAAAGCCCATTTGGCCATAGTTATACCCCTTGAATGACAAATCTCTGTCCTGTAAATCTACATATGTGGCCATCTGTAGGCATATCTTTTCTATCATATATCTTTCTATCTTTTTCCAAATGGTGAAATAAGTATAATGGTGGAGACAGAGTATTGTTTGAATTGGAGGCAAGACAGTTAGATCTGGGAACAAAAAGAACTGAAACCAAGAAAAATAAAACCTTCAAGTTTGATGGTTAAAAACAATTAAGGGGCATTGACAAAGGCCCCATATTTGTTATCAGTCAACAGGTCAAAAACAAAGATATCAAAGAGTTGAACTGTACAGACTCACCTGCCTTTTTAAAATCTTTTTATTTTGAAATAATTATAGCCTTACAGGAAGTTGCAAAAATAATACAGAGACAAGCCTATGTCCTTTACTCAGGTTCCTTCATTTTTATATCTTACATAACCATAGTCCAATATCAAAACTAGGAAACAATACATTGGTAAAATGTGTGTGCAGTTCTGTCATTTTATCACATGTGGATTTATGTAACCCCTGCTGCCATCAAATACAGAACAATGCCATCACCGTGATATCTGCCTCTGGCTCCCCTTCATAGTCCAGTTTGCTTTATAGCAGCGGTTCTCAACCTGTGGGTCGAGACCCCTTTGGCAGTCGAACGACCCTTTCCCAGGGGTCGCCTAAGACCATCCTGCATATCAGATATTTACATTACAATTCATAACAGTAGCAACATTACAGTTATGAAGTAGCAACGAAAATAATTTTATGGTTGGGTCACAACATGAGGAACTGTATTTAAAGGGCCAGAAGGTTGAGAACCACTGCTTTATAGGAAGATAACAATCTAAAGCTCAGTCTGGGAGCATTTAGGACATGGTACGTGTGGAGAAGGCAGATGAAAGATGACTGTCCCTTAACTGCCGCTAAGCCAGACTCTCCAGTGTGTCAGGGAATCTTGGTTAGGGACCTCCCACCACTGCTGGTGGTTCTCCTGAGAAGCAAAACTCTTTAAAAAGACATTAAAATTGTTCCTGCTACACTGTTCCCAGATCTTTTCTGCACAACCTTCCTTATCTCCTGTCCCACATTCCCCCAACCTGGCCCTTCACTCACTCCCTGGCCTTTTATTCACTGAGACAAACTAGATTCAATCTTCAAGTCCCTTTGTCAGTGGCATTGGCCTGCCTAATCTAACAAGTCACCATACACCTCATTTACTCGTAAATGGACTCATCAAAGAGACTCTGTCCTCTGCCCTCTCTCATGGTATCTCATGCCATGGCCTCATGAAAATCATCCCACGTTTGCATCTCTGGCTCCAGACAAGGTAGCTCCACCTGTATGTCATGAGCACCCTAGAACTGTCCCAAATTCAACTCTGTATTCTAACAAAAATTGTCCTCTGCCGTGTTCCCCACAGTGGAGACTAAAATCATTACCTGCTCAGTCACTCAGTGTAGAGGCCTCAGTAACTCCAGCCTCCCCCTGCCCTGACCCCACATCGGTCACTTCCAGCGTGCAAAAGACGGGGCTTTTGAGCACCTTTCTGCGGTTCCCTCGTTCTTGATTCCCTTCAGATCCTGATTATTTCTCACGTGGACTAAAATGACAATGCAGCCTCCCCTTCACAGCGCCACTGCATTCTTCCTCTCAGCGCCCACCGTGGAGGCACCACTCCCCTGCTCAACCACCTGGGATGACTCATCACTTAGAAAGTCAAAACTCCTTTTTTCGGCATCTCAAGAGCTTCATTCCCAAGGGATCAGTGTGTACTCTACGGCCACCCTGCCTTTGCATCTGCCACTTTTTCATCAGCCCAGATGGTCCTACACCCTTGACCTGCTTGATAAAATCCTATGCATCCTTCCAGACCTCTTTCAGAGCCGTCTTCTTGGCTGAGCCTTCTCTGATTGACCAGATGGAATGACTTCTCCTTGGCATTCCCAGGGGCACTTTATTCTAACAATTCTTTAAGGTTGCCTAGAAATGCAGCTCATGTACATTTCTAACACTGCAACCACCTTCGTCATTTTCTGATCTAGCAAAATACTGAAGAAAAACAATGAGTTAAACTAGGATTTGAATTCCAACTCTGATATGTACTGACATGTGGCATTGCACCAATTGTCCTCTCTGAGCCTAATTTCTTCATCAGTAAAATGAGGAAAATACTGTCTGTCCAATAGATTTGCTGCAAGAATTAAACAAGATAATGTGGATAAAATGCCAAGCACAATGTCTCCTCACTCAGGGTAGGCACTCCAAAACTACGAGCTGGGGTCTCCACTTTATATCATACCTACTATCTAAGGCAAGTTTTGTGAATAGCAGGCTATGAAAAAAAAATTTGTGTAAACCCCTCCCACATTGTACGAGGGTTGGTATGTATGACAGAAGTAATATCCCTCTTCCAGCTTAGGTTATAAAAGACACTGGGGGAAAATTTTTGTTAATAAAGGGTACTTGCCCTGGCCATTGTGGCTCAGTTGGTTGGGCACAGTTCCATTCACTAAAGAGGTGGTTCAATTCCAGGTCAAGTACAGGCCTGGGTTGCAGGCTTGATCCCTGGGAGGCATGCAGGAGGCAGCCAATCTATATTCTGCTTTCACATCAATATTTCTCTCTCAAAATCAACAACAACAAAAAAACTTTAAATAAATCGATACTGGGGCTTTCATCTTGGGTATGTTTTTTGTGTATGTTCTGTCTCTCCCGCTCTTCGATCACTTGTCCTGGAGAAATCAGTTGCTGGGTTGTTAGCAGCCCTGTGGAGACCCCACATGGCAAGAAACCACAAGTGAATTTGAAAGCAAATCCTCCAGCCTGTCAAGCCTCAGGTGACTGTGGCTCGGCTGAGACTTTCATTACAGCCTAAGACTCTGAGCCAGAATCACTCAGCTAAGCTACTCCTGGATTCCTGGCCCACAGACTGTAATATAAGGAATATTATTTTATTGCATTAATTTTAGGCTAATTTGTTAACCAGGAGTAGATATCTAACATAGGCTGAATCTCTTTATTTGCCAATACTAGAAGCCACAAATGTCTGTGGATGCTTTTGCATTACAATGCAGAGTTGAATGGTTGTTATGTTTTGTAGAAAATGTTTGCTGACCGTTGCTCTAAACTGAGGCCATAATGATCATTTTAATATTGCAATCTGAACACTCACTACCCTACTTAATCTCTTACAATGACTTTCTGTCATTGTAAGGACAAAGATCAAAATCCATAACATGGCTCGAGGCCATGCATGATCTGATTCAAGCCTATCTTTCCTGCATCATATCTTGCCACACCCACCACACCCTTCTGCTTTCAATGCTTCAACTGTACTGTACTTCTTTCAGTTTCTTTTTCTTTACTGGGGCAACACGGGGTAATAACATTATGTAATTTTCAGATACACAATATTATAATTTGACATCTGTGTACTCTACTGCACGCTCCCCATCTGAAGTCTAGTTTCCTTGTTAGCATATATTTGACCCCCTTAACCCACTTTGCCCTTCCCCTCCCTCTTTTCCCTCTGTAACCACCAATCTGTTGTATCTAGGAGTTTGTTCTTGTTGCTTTTTTTATATTCCATGAGTGAAAGCATATGGTTTTGTCCTTTTCCATCTGACTTATTTCACTTAGCACGATATTCTAAAGATCCATTCAGTTTCTGGAGTGTACCTTGCCCACGCTTATTCCAGGGCCTGTATGCTATATATACCCTTTAGATTCTAAAGTTTAGAATGCCCTCCCTCTATTCCAGCGGTTCTCAACCTGTGGGTCGTGACCATCAGAAAACACATAGAGCATATCAGATATTTACATTATGATTCATAAAAGTAGCAAAATTACAGTTATGAAGTAGCAACGAAAATAATTTTATGTTTGGGGGTCACCACAACATGAGGAACTGTATTAAAGGGTCGCGGCATTAGGAAGGTTGAGAACCACCTCCCCTCCTTCACTTAGCTTTCTACCCATTTTTCAGGTCTCAGTTTAAACATCACTTCCTCTATGCAGTCTGTGAGCTCCCCAAACTAAATGAGCCCATTGGTTCCCATAGCCCTCTGCCTAACTTGCTGATAACATCCATTTACTGTAGAGTGCTGTTTCCAACTAGACTGCAGGGAGACACTAACACTCTGACTTGCTTAGCATCTGGCACACAGTAGGCACTTAATATTCCCTGCTCTCCCTTAACCTATTGAATTCTGTCAATTCTCTTCTGATATTGTCCACTTCTTTCTGTCTCCACCACAACTCCCCTAATTGAGCCAACTGTTATGTTGTGTCTGGATTCTTTCAACAGATACCTAGGCAAGTCTTCCCACTCTGGATTTTTCTCCACAGTGCAGCTGGACTAACTTTACTAAAATGCAAAGCTGATGGCTTCCCACTGCTCTCTAAAGAGTCTAAAACTCTTGGAAGACTTACAAAATCCTTTGTAATTTAGATTTTACTTCTCTCTCAAAAGCACTTATGTTAGAGTCAAAATGATTCCCTTTCGGGTCTTTAACTATAGATTCTCTCTCAACTCTGACTCTTGCAAATGATTCTCTTCACCTGCCTAAAACAGTATTCCTTCCCTTTCACCCAGGCATCTCCTACACAGTATTTGGGGATCATCTTTAGACATCTCTACCCCCTGAAAGCCTCCTCATACTCCCAAATCTGGTTAGAGGTGCCTTCTTTAGTACCCTATATTCCATTGCCCCCAACACCCTCTACACACACCACTTGTAGCATTAATTACACAAAAAGCTCTGTGAGAGAAAGGATTGTCTGGCTTCTTTTCCATTGTATTTCCAGTATTTACACAAGGCTTGGCACATAGGAGACGAAAAAAATTTACTAAATAAGTGAATTTTAATGCTTCAACACTAAAGCAATTTCCATAACTTTGAAAGAAAACTTTGAAAGCTTACATTAAATCTTGTGATTTATATTATACCCTTCAATTTATCCCACATGGACCCTACACTCATTTCAACTAGCACCCCCAAATTTCTTACTACCTTATATTGTACCCATCTCTCAAATCCCCAAAACATGAATTTAGCAGTCTAACTTCTACCCTTCGGGTCCTAGACTGCTGGGCTCGGGGGCTTCATAAAGTCACAAAACCTTTCTAACTGGCTCCATTAAAATATGGCTCCTAACCCTACTGGGCCCTCAATAGGACTTCTGCGGTGCTTCTCCTTATTCCCAGCCTATTCTCTCCTACCATATGTCTCAACTTTCACCACTTACCTCAAGCGCCCAAGTTATTCTACACTTGCTCACTCTCAACAGATGATTCTGCTACTCTGTCACCGAGGTAAGAGGGAAATGGATAGGACTCCTTTCCTTCCTTTAAACTTTCTTTCCTTTCTCTTGCCCCTATTCCTTCCTCTCAAGCTGAACTATTTATCTGTGCCCTTGAACCTACTTCTCTGGCCTGCTCTTGAGCTCTGCCACATCAATCTTGGTACTGTCATATTTCATATTAACTTAACTCACTCACGGTATCACTATGCTTCTTCATTGTGTTGCATCAGCTGGAGTGGCATCCTCTCCACTGCTAGATTACTGCACACTAAGATGGTACAGCTCTTCAATACTTGATATGCCTCATTATCGAGGGAGCCTGAAGTTCACAAATCGAGAAGTGATGACGTTGCCATCCTTCTGCCCACTCCAGCTCACCCCTGATGAGCTTGATCCAGTCAGATCACAAAAATAAAAGAAAGAACTATGTGCTGTGAATGGAACTGAGACAGTAACAAGTCTTCTGCTCTCCCACTAATTCTCAAGTGTCAGGCATAACCCCAAGCTACAATAAATGTATCTTGTCTTGGTGATTCTAGTGGTTAAAACTATGTTGCGTTCTTTTGGGTTTTGTTGTTGTCAACATGACCTCAAATATGAGCCAAGAATGGGAACTTGAGAATTAGCGATGACAATCCTGGAGAAGACTCAAGAGACTCCTGGGCCACCTCTCCTCTCGTGCTGTTGTTCTCTCCAAGCTTTCAGTGCTTTTGTCAGCATTTCTTCTAGGTCAAAGAAATCAATAAATACCAAAACACATAAAGCAGAAAGAAAGGTTTGTAAACATAAATGGATTCCTAACTGGCTGGTGATGATTGGCTGGTGAGCTCCAGGATGGAGGGGTAGGGATGAGGACTGTCAATTCAAACACCTCCACAGACCATTCAAAAAGACCATTATCACGAATCACTTCAGATTTCTAAAGTCCAGCTGGGAATTTTCAGAAAGCAAGGACCATGCAGTGTTCCTCAGATCTGCACAACCATTTTCTTCTCGCCACTCCTTTCCAAAACACATACACTTAGCAAAGGCTTTGCATTAATTTTAACACAAGGATAGCAGAAATAGGAACTAGCTCTCAAAAGAAAAAAGAAAAAACAAACCCTTTACACTTAAACTCCACCTCAAAGCAATTATTAGCTATGTTATGCTTTCATCTTTTGAGCCGTGCTCACTTACATACATTATTGTCAATATCTTTGAAAAAACATGTAAACATTAAACATTTTAAGGACCTTTCACAAACCAAATGACAGTAGGTTTTTATTAACATATCTTACAATGTTGATTATTCCTAGGTTTATAATTTTTGCTTAATTATAAAGATTGATTTAGCTTCTACAGTAATGTACTGTATTTAAATGATCATTCATACAAGGTATCACACCAGTACATTTTTTGAATAATATACACACAGCACTCTAACTTGGATCTGTTATTTTTAAAAGTGGATTTATAAATGGTACTTAAAAAAATTATGGGGGGGAAATTAAAGTTCTAGTTTAGCAGCATGCATGTATGAATTCAAGTACAATTTTCAACCAAGTGCTTTTAAAAAATTTATTGGTGACTAATTCACCAATATCAAAATAAACACTATCAAACCCAAATTTTAATGTTAAGGCTAAATATTTCACTTCACATCCATATGCACAACCATAAAACATTCCATTTTAAATATGTAGTAATCAAAGTCTGAATACATTATACCATGTATATATAGCATCAGAGTTTCAAACTGTAGAATTATTCAAGTTCATGAATCCTGAAACAGTATTTACTAGAGATGTAAATTAGCATTTTGCTCTTCAACCACACTTACAAATGGTCTGGTATTCATAATGACTGATGCAAAAAAAATATGGTAGGCTGAACTTATGATACATTACTGTAAAAAGTAGCAATGAGTTGGAAAGGACAGCTATTTAAACAGAATCATTCTAATCTTTCAGAAAGTTATCTTAATATTTTGGAAATGTATATAAAAATAGCAAGCTATTTCCATGTATTTTATTGTAGAGCTATAGGTAATTTTTTTACTTTTTGAACACATTTGAGTATGTACTGTTCTGCTCTCTCTACTTTAACCAAGGCCATCATTTAATGTCCACTTGCATATTCTGTAATATCATGTCATTCATGATTTTTAGAAGCTAGATCTGACTTTATTTTTATATTTTACCACGAGATTTTTTTAGGTTATTTTTATATGTAAAAATGTAATTTTATATAACAAGCCATGTTCAGTCCAAAGTATCTGGAATTGCCTGATAGCACTAAGTATGAAATAATCATCAACTTAATTAATTGGAAGAAAAAAAAACGGCAGCAATATATAACATGCTTTTCTGTAATCTTCCTTCTCTTCTAATAGAGTTTAGCTCAATCATTCCCATTCTGACTTAAAAACCCTACAAACATAAATTGCTTTTCACAACAGCACTTAAGAAGAATGCAGATGTGAGGTTCATTCATGAGGGTCCTCACCACTGAGCCTTTTCCCCCCTTTTTAGGAAACCAAGCAGAAATAGCAGTGATTACATTGCACAAATATATAGATGAACCTCTTGAGTTGAAAGGAAAGTTCCAAAACTATGCTTCATTTGTGGGGAAGTCTGAGCATTTCCAATCCAGTCATTTAAAAAAAAAGTGTGGTTGGTAATAAAAGATGGGCATGAGCAGATTCAAAATCTGCCATGTGTATGCTCTTAAAACTTAATTTTATAGTCAAATCTATTTGTTACTACCTCCAGTAATTCAACCAACTGAAATGGAAAATTTTGATTTTAAGGGCTCCCTTCCCCAAGCATTCATGTATCTCCCAAAATGTACTGTATTATATTAACAGCAGCTATCTACTTATTTTACAATTATTTCAATTATTTACCTGGGGAGAATATTTATGAAATTCCTGAGAATGAATTAAGTTTTCAGCAAAGCCTTAAACTTTAACAGATTCCTCACAATAAGAAAAACATTTTAAAGTTCTACTATTAAACCAACTTTTACTATACAATATTTCACATAAATCATGTTTTACATTTTTTTCTAATTACATACAGCAAAAATCTCAAATCAACACAAGAATGGTGAGGGGAAAAGATGCATTATGTTTAGCAGATGCAAATTAACACACAGACATAAAGAAGCAGTAAAACTTTAAATAAATCATACCCACTCTAAGTATCAATGAATCATTGATATGCATTGCTGGGAGAATCAGTTTTAAATAATTTTGTCAAATTGTGCTTCTTATTAATTGTAGATTTTTTTAAATGACCACTAAAGAATGATCTAACTTGTAACTTATGTTCTCCAGATACTTTTTAAAATTATTATACCATTAATGTGATTACCAAGCACCTAATTTTGGAAAGGCTTCATAACGTAAGTTTTCTTTTTTTCCCCTCAGCAAAAGTGTTAATCCCCCAAATTAAGTTAAAGCTTATTGTTGATAAATTCTTAATGAAAATGATAATATAATGCAGTGCTGAGGTGGTGAGTCAGAGCCCATTGTAGTGTGGACCCCATCTTTTATTGATGTGATCAAAAGTATGAGAGATCCACTGTTGTTCAAGAACTTTGTATCTTTCCTTACAAATGTAGAGAGGCTTGCCTCGCCTAGGGGGAAAAAAGGGAAAAAGGTATTAAAAGTAATAAAATACAATAAAGGTTTTTAAAAATAGAATTTTCATGGCAAAATTTTCACATAGTAATTTGGTTTATTTCATGTTTTCTTAGTAGGTTGATGAGGAAAATATCTCAAAAACTAGAAATAGCTCTAAATTAATGACTGTCAGAATTTCTTAATATAAAACTTGTATTATTACAAAGCTAGAAATGGCACATTGTTCTCACCAGACCAAATGTCAGTGACACACCTGCGACACCCACGCACTCTCACCTAAGATCCCGGTCTTCCTCTCCGTGCGCGTCCAGGTACACTGAGCCCCACAGGCAGAAGCGGTGCCCTCGGATGATGATGATCACCGACGCATTGACCAGGAGGAAAATCCCCGTGCCAGCACCGCAGTTCTGAGAATGCTAAAAGATTAAAAATATATCCAATAACTCCATAATCAAATGGACTTTACATAAGAAAATCAAAAATCCCTTAAGTAAATTTCTTCTAAATAAAACAGGCATATTTTTTTAAAATTTTAATAAGATTTTATCTAAGTTAAATTTACAATCTCACTTCTAACATTTTATTAATAATACATTAGGAGGAATTTGGGTAAGGATTATCTAGAAGAGTGATTAAAAGCCAATGCTGGGGTGGAGGGACAATCGGGCAATAAGGACACATATGTAGTATCTTAATCAATAAAGAAAAAGAAATTTAAAAAGAATAAGCAGGCACACACACACAAAAAAAAAGCCAATACAAACCTAATTCAGAGATTAGCACCTACATTAGCATATATGGCTGTGATTTCATTGCACAACATTCAAAAGTATGTATCAGTAAAGGATGGTGGGAGTAGGAAGAGGAAGAAAATTGTACTTATGAAAGGTTTTACTCAAAGACTCAGCTGTTTTGTTTTGCTTTGCTTTACCCTTTTACTGGGTTAAAAAGAACAAAAACAAACAAGAACAAAAAAGAACGAAATCTTTACATATATTGTTTATTTCGCTCAAAACCTAAACTTTTAGAGCTGGCTTGACCATATATATGTATCTATATAGCACATATCCATGTGATATGAAATTTTGAGTTTTCATAAAATTGCTATTATTTACTAATGCTTACCAATACACATTCACAGTAACTTTGTTGCTTGCAGCAAAGTCCTTTCAGGCATACAAAAGTGCCACAAACAAGGCAAACAGCAGGGTCTTTAGGAACCTTGGTGCAGACACTGCAGGTTTTTCTGTGGTAGTACTGGAAAATGGTATTATAATTCTCAGGCAACTGTAGTAGGTGTGGTAACTTCCATCTTGACTCTTGGATAAGCAAGGCCTAAAACATTATCCAAAAATATTCATTAGTCCTATGTATTTAAGTCATTAACACAAAATACTTATTTTTTTATTTTTTTAATTTTTTTTAAAATATATTTTATTGATTTTTTTACAGAGAAGGGAGAGGGATAGAGAGCCAGAAACATCGATGAGAGAGATCAATCAGCTGCCTCCTGCACGCCCCCCAGTGGGGATGTGCCTGCAACCAAGGTACATGCCCTTGACCGGAATCGAACCTGGGACCCCTGAGTCCGCAGATCGACGCTCCATCCACTGAGCCAAACCGGTTCGGCAATACTTATTTTTTTAAATGAATTTTTAAAAAATGGAAAACCTGTCTCCAAAAATGTGACTTATTTTCTTTATTAACACTCTTCTCATTTCCATTTTACAAATGACCAAAATTGTATTTCGAAAATTACCATTCTCTATTTTTAATGTTGTTTCTATTTAAAATATGATGCAAGGTTTAGATTAAGCACCATAAAACACTTAAACTTGTTATTACTTTAAAAGAAAAATATTAAATATAACCAAACATGCATAAAAAATATATCTAGATATACTTGTTTTATATATGCTTTCAAATAGTTATACATTTTTTAAAACCAAGTTTTGACCTTTCTTAGCTAAATAAGTCATTGATTTTTTCTTTAGGGAAAGTCAAAGTTTTAACTCATTTCTATTTCAATACTTTATAACCTAGAGTGGGGGGTGGGGGTTACCTTTTTTCTGTCAAGGCCATTTGGATATTTATAACATCATTCTCGGGCCATACCAAGCTATCAACTTAAAAATTAGCCTGCTATATTTGGTCAAACATTTAATTAACTCACCCCTAATGCATTGGCAGGGCCAGACCAAATGACTTCTCCGGCCTTATACAGCCCAAGGGCCTGATGTTCCCCACCCTTGATCTAGATTATAAAGTATTGTTCTCCTTCCTAGAAGATGTAAAATCTTCTTATACCTCAAGCTAAGATATTTTGTATCCATAAGTGCTGGGGCTACAACTCTTCATAAATTTGCTTACTTTTTTTTAAAATGACAAATGAGTTCAATTTTCCTGCAGGATATACTTTATTGATTGTTTGCAGGGATATAAAAATATTAGTAACAGCACTCATTTTTTCTAGATGCTACTTCATTAACACAAATAAAATGTAGTATGAATCTATTACCTTAAGAAACTGTAAAGATGGCAGGCAACTCCTATGTGATTATCTCACATTATCTACAGCCATAATCCATCTAATTCAATGCAGTGGCTAAGTAGCTAATCTGGTATTTATCAGTAAGTTCATGGATAAAGTGACCATGGAAGCAAGGGTAAAGACAATATATGGGCCTACAATATGCTATTTGCCAGTACTCAGTGCCCAACCCTGGACTCCCAAAACTGCTATTCCATGATGGGTTGATTATATTGGAACTCTTCCATCAGTGGAAGGAATGGCAGTTTGTCCTCACTGAACTTGATACTTAGCAAGATTAGACTGTGAACTACCCAGTAACTCATACCACAAGGCCTCTAATAAAATAGTCTTCTTCTATACAGGAGTGATTGTTCTCTCACAGCTGGAAATGCACAGATTAGGAAACCAGGGTTTAAAGGTGGTTGTGGCATCTTCCATGATTTCATCTAAGAATTCGGTTTTTAATTTCTGTTTTCCTAAGGAAGCTGTGTACTATTCTCCACCAGATTCCACTGATTTAGAAAGTAAATGTCATCTAACCATTCTAGGTTACCCCACCACTAAGAGATGAAAGGGAATGGCTCACAAACTGTCTGAGGGACTGACCCTGACTGGCGGCTATCAAGAGCAGCTGAGATGCTAGTCAAAGGAGGTGAAAGAAGAAAGTCATACATTTGACTATATATTAACTACAGCTTTATGACTGGTTGTAACTTTTGCTTTCTGTGGCACACATTTTTGCAACAATTTTCATTCTTTTCCCCTTTCTCTTACTATTGAATTCAGGGTGAGTAGGTGCTAATTAAAATTTTCTAGATGACTGGGGTGTAAGTACAACAAAATCACAAAAGGAATGCACATCTGCCAGAGCCTCTAGATTCAGGGAGGCTGATGATATAACTATTGGATGTGACTTCAGGTTGCATATTTTGAAAAGTGTTTGTAGAGGTGATGTGATGGTTACTTCATTTTGAACACAGAAAAAAGTGAAACTCTATGAATGAGAAGAAAGATGTCTATGTGCTGGGCAAGTAAGATGTGGAGGTAATGGGCTACCAGTGTTTTTTATTTTCCATTTGTCCAACATCTTTATCTGCATCCTTATATTAATGGTATTACAAGTTCTTTTGGAACAAAAACAACCTCTTTTCCTGCTACAAACAAGTCTGATAGGGTTGCCCCCTCACAAGATACTGCCCAGCACAGGGGTGTGCATATGATACAAATTAGGCTAACCAGGTTCTCTCTCCCAGGAATCTGAATCTTGAGTGCACATGGAGGGAAGGAAAATGGTTGAGGCAGTCATCCAGGGGTAGAACTTCAGAGAAAACAGACCACAGGTTTGCAACCAAACTGTTTGAACTAAAGAATCTTGGGTAATGCACATTAGAAGCACTAACTCAGGCTATCTTTCAAGGGTACTGTTATTGGACTATTTAGCTTCATTCACTGTTTATCTTTCTAAGTCCCTATATTCAAATTTAAAATTCCTGGCAAAGAAAATCTGGTTGCCCTAGAGTCCCAGCCAGGGTTAGAAATAGAACAGAGTGAAGCAGGAACAGGAGGAGGGGTGCAGGTCAGATGGTGATGCATTCAAATAACCAGTAAAAACTCTGCATGAATAAGTTCATCAATAAATGTCTACTGTTCTGACTCTAAAACAAATAATTACCACTACATTTTACAAAAAGATAAAATATTTTTAAATAATAAATTCTTATTCTCCATCAATATCCATACCAATATTATTCATCTAAAATGTAGGCCTGCTCTTACACTATCAAATAAGTTATTTTTCTCTGTTGCTTAACCCATGGCTCATATGAAAACAAAAACTTTAAGTATGCTCATCTCTTTTTCTCCTGTCCTGGTTCTACAATTACACCCACCTCTTACTCCAAGTCATGCCTCATAGGTTTTCAGACATCAAAATATAACTTCAGATTCTAGCTACAAACTGTGAATAAAGAAACTACTAGACAGAAAAAAGATTTTTATACGTAACATACAAGATTCAATTAACTTCATGAATTTCCCATTCCTTTTTTTAAAAAGGTATAAAATGATATATTATCTCTTCAAGGACTTTGACAAAAAAAATAGAAACGAGTAAAATAGACATTTATTATTTATGCTTATCTTGCCTTTATTATTCACTTCAATGTTTTAAAAATTAAGTATAATCAGACACTTCCATCTGAAATACTAATCTTTTTATTTTCCCTTTGATGTTAAAATTAAAATTCTAATTTTCCCTGAAATTTGGTTCCCTTTCATCAGTTCTATTTCAGCCAATGACATCCTACCACCATTTAATTGTTCCACAAATATTTATTAGGTCACTAGTCTATAGCAGGCACTTTATAGGAACTAGGGATTCAAGGATATACAAATAATTTTTGCTTTGTGGAGCCACAAATCAGACACAATAAACAGTGATAAATATGGCAACTGTGAGAGACAATGGCAAAAGTACTGTTATACAGCACAACAGTACTATCATACAGGAAAACAGAGGGAGGGGGTTAAGGCTTCAGAGGAATATGGACTATCAGACAAAGCTTTACAGAAGAGGTAACAAAACCTTGATGGATTAATTCAGCAGGGGAAGGGTAGGAAGTTTACTTTAGATAAAAGCAACAGCAACAAGCAATAGCACAGGTGTTTGAAGATATATAGCACAGTGAAGAAACATTCTTTTGGTTTGAGCAAGGTTGTGGGCAAGGGAGTGGTACAGAATAAGGTTAGAAAGGTAGGCAAGATGGGGAAAATCCTTGAATGCTTTGCAAAGAGTATACTGATGGGGCATCTTCAATGGAGTTTAAGCAGGAGCAGGTTCCTATCAGAACTATGTGTACTCACTACTATTCTTCTAATGATTTGAGTTCAAGATCTTAAAGTCATGTACATATGTTCAGCAAGTCCTATCTATTTTTCTCAAATGTCTCTTGCATTGGTTACATTCTAATTTCTACTGTTAGGACAATAGTACAGATTTTCTTCACCACCTAAATAATCATCTCTGGCTTCCCTCTCTCCTTACTTCAACTTACCTGCTAAAAAGCCACCAGATTACCCCATAAAACACTTACTTCCCTCATATTATGCCATTTCTCAAATACTGTACTTCTAGCTATAGAAAATGTCTGAGCACCAAACTATGGCATTCAACCACCCTCTGCTGCTCCCACTCTCCAATACAAAACCTTTCTCCAGCTGAGCTGGCGGCAATGGGCCAGCAAATTTTAAAGTTCAAGGTGTGACCTTTTAGACCTGCTATTCCAAATCTTTGATTTCTTTGTTGACAGTTCTCTTTCCAATAAGCTTACAAGTCCCTCATCTATCTTAAAATTCCTTTGTATCTTCCAAGTCTAATGCTATGATTATTTAAGGAATCAATAAAAACCTAAAACAAACTAAAAGTGACATAGTAATTCCTTAGCTTTATTGATTGAAATACTTCTGCTTTTACATTCAAAAACCAATATTATGTAAGTAAATCATTTCTCAATGTAATTAGTTTAATAAATGTTTCCAAGAATAGATGACCTATAAGTTTTAAATTCTTCATTAGCCTCTTAAATATTAGCACATGACCTCTATGGCAAGTGAGCACTATTCCTTTTACATACCTTTCCTTGTTCTGCATGTCTTTCAGTAAATGAATTTATCTCAGAACACCACTGAGCTATAATATCAAATGCTGGAACTGGCCAATCCAGACAGGAGGCACTGATGAAGGGATGTTCTGTTTGGTAAAATGTTGGCAGAAGTCCCAGGCAGCTGGAAAGAACTGAAAATTCTTCTTCTTCCTTTTAGACATGAAATAGAAAATTCTCAAGATATTTCATCATGAACATTTCCCATTATAGATATTTTGAGTGTCATTCTCATCAATTACTTTTGGATAGTAAGAAAACTTTCTTAACTAAAGTACAGGGAGTAAAAGAAATGAGAGAAAGGTCCCTAGCTGTTATATCCAAATATCCCTATAATATTTCTCTCTGAAATTTAACTCCTAAGTGCCATAGCATCTGCTTCTTTTATACATTTATTTTCTAAACTAGAGGCCCTGTGCACGAAATTCATGCACTGGGGTGGGGGGGTCCCTCAGCCTGGCCTGCGCCCTCTTGCAGTCCGGGACCCCTCAATGGATGTCCACCTGCCAGCAGTCAGACATCCCTCTCACAGTCTGGGGCTCTTGCAGTCCAGGACCCCTCGCTCCTTACCACCCACCTGCAGTGGAGGGAGGAGAGGCTCCCACCACCATCACTGCACTCGCCAGCCGTGAGCCCAGCTTCTGTGCTCCCTGTGGGAGCACACTGACCACCAGGGGGCATCTCCTGCATTAATTGTCTGCCCCCTAGTGGTCAGTGCACATCATAGCCACCGTTTGGTCAATTTGCATATGAGGGTTTTATTATATAGGATAGTATTGTCACATAACTGATGAGTACAGTCTATAGAGTCGTATTTACTCTGAAAACCAATGTTAATTTAGGACAAAAGCAAAGTGACTTTTGGTTAAAAAGACATAGCTTGTCAGTGTGGATGAAGAATAAGAGTAAAAGCATGGAATACACAAGAGGCAATGCTAAATAATTTGCATGTGAAACAAAGTCAGTTTTAAAAGAAGGGAGGCCCTTGCCAGTGTTGCTCAATGGCTAAAGTGTTGACCTCCTACACCAGTGATGGCGAACCTTTTGAGCTCGGCGTGTCAGCATTTTGAAAACCCCTAACTTAACTCTGGTGTCGTGTCACATATAGAAATTTTTTGATATTTGCAACCATAGTAAAACAAAGATTTATATTTTTGATATTTATTTTATATATTTCAATGACATTTAACAAAAATCAACCAAAAAAATGAGTTCACGTGTCACCTCTGACATGCGTGTCATAGGTTCGCCATCACTGTCCTACACCAAAGGGTCTCAGTTTTGATCCTGTGCATGTGGGAGGCAACCAATTGATGTTTCTCTCTTTCTCCTCTCTCTCTCTCCGCCTCCCTCCCTTCCACTCTCTCTAAAAATCAACTGAAAAAATATTCTCTGGTAAAGATTACGAAAAATAAATAAGTCTGTCAAAACATTTTAATAAATAAATAAATAAAAATAGAAGAAATGAGTTTTAAAAAACTTCCGAGATCCAAGTATTCAGCGATCTGAAGCTCCACTCAGTAATAACAGAACCAGAGAAATAAGTCATCCAAGCACTCGCATTTTGAAAGTTTATTTTTAAGGAGTTTGTTAGTCTTGTGAAAACCAAAGTATACTCCCTAATCTTTTTTTATTTAACTGAAAAAACATTTCTGAGGCTAGTGTGTCTACTTTCTTCTGTCCATTGGATCAATTCCTATCATCCTTCAAATCTCCCAGCTCCCCAGAGAAGCCTCCCCTCACCCCTATTAATGACACTTTACAGTACCCAGCCCCATTCAGATAAAATTAATCCTTCCACACCTTGTAAACACTTCTCTTTTGGATATTTGCTATTAGTTACTTTAAAAATAAATTAGCCTTTCCTATAAGACTGTGGGAGCGGTTCCTGGGTGTAGGAGCTCTGTCTTCCCAGGGCTTGGCACATAATAGAAATTCAACCAGCATCTCTTTGCAAAAGTGAACTAATTATCTAGATAAAGTACAAAATTTGAAATATGGTACAAAGATAAAAAAGCAAAATGATAAGAAAGCTAAAAAATGTTAATTTTTTAAATCTCTAGAAATAAGGCCACAAATCCCCCATTTATATAGCTATGCAAAGAGGGCATTTTTAAAAACAACTTTATTGAGGTATAACTTCCATAACCATAAAATGGACCAACCTTAAGTGTAGTTTGATGAATTTTAGTAAAAGTATAATCATGAAACTACTGCTACCATAAAATTCTAGAACCATTCCACTCCCCCAAAATATTTCTTTTACCCCTATGCAATCAATTCCAGCCCCTTCTCCTGCCCAAGCAACCATTGATATGCTTTCTGCCATTATAGTTTGGGATTTTACATTTCATATACATGAAACCATTATGTATTCTTTTGTGCCTGGCCTCTTTCACTTAGCATAATATTTTGAGATTCATTCATGTTATAGTGTGTATCAGTAGTCCATTCCTTCTTATTACTGAGTAGCATTCCACTATATGAGCATACCACATTTTGTTCACACGTTCACTTTTTGAAGGACTTCTGGGTTATTTCCAGTTTTTGACTACTATAAATTAGGCTGCTATGAACATTCAATTACAACTATTTATGTGGACATACGCTTTCATATCTTTTGGTAGATAACTAAGAATAGAATCATTGTGTTATACAGTTAAGTGCATGCTTAATATTTTAAAGAAAACTGCCAGAATTTGACTATACCACTTTGCATTCCTACCAGCAATGAATAGAAGTTTCATGGAACTCTACCCAACTCCTTACCAACACTTGTAACATTAATTTATACTCCTCTAATCAATAATGATGTTGAACACTTGTCATTACATATTAGTCATTCATATATATTCTTATAAGAAGTGCTTGTTCAAATTTTTTGACCACCGTATGTTTTTTGTTTTCTTATTGTTGAGTTATAAAAGTTCCTGATATATTCTGGATACAAATCCTTTCTCAATATATATTTTTTAAATTTTTTTATGAAAACAACTAACCCACAGATCTAAGAAGCTTAATTAATCCAAATCAGGAGGAAATATAAATAGGTCCATTACTGGAGTTCTCAATGTTAAGATGATAACATTATAATGTTACAGCGTCAGTTCTTCCAGTTAAGATGAGAGTTCTAAATTAATATTGAGTCAATGCAAACCTTCCCCACCCCCCCACCCCCCAAAAAAACTAAATAGGCTTTGTTTTTTGATAGGAATTTCAGGCCGATTTAAAAATTTTATAGAAATACAATGAATAGCCAAAACATACCTTGAAAAAGAACAAATTTTGAGAACTTCTATACTGTATGATTTCAAGTCTTACTATTTTAAGTCTTTTTTTTCAAGATCTCATTTGAAAGAAAGGTTCTACTGCTAAAGTATGTTTGAAAACTCCTGCTGCAGTGTCATGGGACTCGGGAGGGGAGAGATTAAAGGAAGGTGTGATGAGGCATATCAAATTGTGCTGTGATCAGATGGTCCTTAGTAACACTTGAGGCTGCAGGATAGTATTGGCAGGGGGGAAAAATAGATTTTGTGGGGTTAAGGAGTGCGTGGAGAGTAATGTAGGCAGCTGGTAATAGACCACAATTAGAAAGAGAAGGAACAGATGTAGGTAAATGTCCTGGTTGGGCAGCCCCTTCCTCGTGCCCATGCTCACTACCATTAGTGCTAGGGATAACTTCTGAAGTTAAAGGTATTTTGATTAAAGCTGTAGTCTTCAAGTGAGTTACTTGATTTGACACGACCAAGACTCCACAGGTCTTTCACTCTATCCACTTTTCTAGTAACTACAAAATCAGTCTCAGACAACCCTGATGTATGGCTGGTGAAATCACCACCATTTATTTTAGAAATATTCGTATTTTTGAAGTCACTTTGGCTTTCCAGTACCTGGATTGCTGTTAAAAAAGAAAAACCCTACAGCTTAATCCCTACTTTTTGTTTAAGGAGATTCTCCTAGATTATTGGTGCAATACAGTGATGTGAAGAATTTTTGAATATTTTTAATTTGTTCAATATCTTATAATCCTAAATACAAAGTTTTGGGGACAAATATGTAGAGTTTAATCTCAAATCACTTAATAAAAACCAAAGAACACAAACTATGCAATGGCCAATTACATAGGAGAAAAGGAATAATCAACTTCTTAATTCTGATATACTTCAGGCTTCAAAGATCATAAATATGATAAATACCTTAATGGCCACATCAAATTCACCGAAAATGAATGGCAGATAATGCCAGAAACATAATCCTAAAAGTTAATTTGGTTTACTTACCTTCTGCTTTCCTTTCCTGTCACTTTCTTGCCTACTCACATTGACCAACAGTTCTAAGAAATATATTAAACTAGTGATAACTCATTCATCCAAGTTTTAATATAAGTGGCTATAAATTGAACATTTTGTTGTTCTAAAATTACATAAACACCATCATATCTTCAGATAACCAGCTTTCTGACCAACATAATATTTAAATAATATTAAAAGCAATTAGTGATAAATGTATCAATAGAGATGGTGATAACTATTATCAATATGAATACTATGATCCTGTTAAAATATTGGGCATTTATTATCACTGATCTAATCCAAAACTACTCAAATATCAAATATTAGTAACATTACCATAAAAATGAGTGGATGCTAACAAATACAAAATATAGTAACAATAAGTATTCTAAATATTTATTCCTTTTAGTTAGACTAAAACAATGCACCCTAATCTCTATCCCAAATTATACCTGGCAGCTAGGTAAATCTTCCCCAAAAAGGTGATGCTGAAGAAGGCTGGTGATTCTGAGGAAAGGTAAGCAGAAGTCCTGCAAGTATTTTTCCATGGATTCAGAAGACCAAGCAATAGGGCTAACCTAAAGTTAAAAAAAGAAAACCTGAATAATTCATTCTATAATAGATATAGCTTTAAAAATTATATTCATAATGGCAACAAAATCTAAATTTTTAACTAAATAACCACTACATCTAACCTTAGAGAAAACGTACCATTGCACACTCCTGAGCTCCTTCTTCATGGTATAACTTTCCTTTAGAGAGTTCACTTATCACAAAGCTCAATAGCACTTTATAAGACTTTTCTGCATCACACGTATTCTAGGAAAAATTAAAATATTAGTTATCTCAGTCACTGAATTTACAAAAAGTTAACATTGAAAAGAACACTTTTTAAAGAGTACAGCATAATTATGATTACATTAGAGGCCTGGTACACAAATTCATTCACACTGAAAGGAAATTAATTAAAATAAATATTTTAATATCACTATTCACCCTTTCTCTATAATAGACGTATCAACCAAATTCACAATCGACAATGACAAATGGTAACACACACATGCGATTGGCGCCAGCAAGAGCTTTATATGTATCACGTATGTGTGAGTCAACTTAGCCTTTTATAGATATAGACTAAACTTGCTTAATTAGACCTGCTTTCTGATGTAGCTAAACGTTTTCCAGCCCAGTGAAGCACCCCAACCTCTCTTTCAGGTAATTGTCAGCAACACAGCAGTAAATATCAACATGAAGCAGATTATTATTGTAGATCATGCAGGGAGAACAAAGGGTAATATATTTAACTGCAGCAGTGTCTGACTATATTCTGCACAGTGAGAAAACCTGAAGTCATTTTCAAGGTCCACCATTTCTTACTTCTTTTCAGTCAGGTCAAGTTTCTAAATCTCTGTTTTCCAGCTAATGAAAAGAAAATAGGATTCCACCAAGTCTCCCATCTACCTACTCCAGGACTTCTATGAGGATCAAATGAGATGAGGCATGGGAAAACGCTTCACAGACATTTGGTTAAAGTGTGAAATGTTTCCTGGCTATAAAGCAAGTCATGTTCCTGGGCGGAAGAAACTGCAAGGAGGCTAGTTGCTAGGGAGAAAAAGCCGGCTTTGCTACGTGACATCATTACACAGATGGTAGGATACTTAGCATATTAGCTTTTTATATATATAGATTATTTTTCAAGTATGTAAACTTCAATTCCTCAAAACCTATATATTTACACAATGAAGTACTACTCAGCTGTAAAAAGGAAGAAAATTTTATGTTTTGTGACAGCATAGATGGACCTGGAGAACATTATAATAAGTAAAGTAGGTCAGACCAGTCAGAGAAAGACAAGTACCATGTCATTTCATTCATATGTGGAATTTAATGAACAAACTGAACTGACAAGCAAAATAGAGACAAAATCATAGAGAGCAGGTAGATAGCTCTGGTGTGTGTGGAAGGATGTTGGGGGGCCGCGTGGAAAGACTGACCAAAAAAAGAAAAAGAACTCATGGACATGGATAATAGTGTGATGACTTCAGGGGGAAGGAAAAGGGGTAGAGGTAGAAGAGGACATGGGGGGGGGGGGCGGAATAAATGGTGATGAGGGGGAGCAAAGAAATCCTGGTATAAAATCTCTTTTAACAGATATTCCAAAGAAGAAAAAAAAATATGCTAACTGTAATGACCATTTTTCCAACACAACTGAACTTCCTTATCAAATTATCTCTATAATATTCTTTTGAAAAATATATATTTTTATTGCTCTAGGGTAGATTCAATCTGGCAAAAATCTGTTTTCACTGGAATTATTATACCTGAGGATAAAGAATTATATGGTGGGTTGGAATAAACGAGGCTCAATGAAGAAAGAAAAGAAGGAAAGGGATGAGAAGAAAAGAAGTAAAGGGAGAAGGAAATGAAAAAAAAAAGAAGGAATGAATGATACACAATGATACATTTCATTACTTATACAGCTGTTGCTAATATTTACTAGAGGCCCGGTGCACAAAATCCGTGCACTCGGAGGAGTCCCTCAGCCTGCCCTGCTCCCTCTCGCAGTCCTATTAGGAGCAGGCCTAAGCCATCAGTTGGACATCCTTAGCGCTGCCTCAGAGGCAGGAGAGGCTCCTGCCACCACCACTGTGCTTGCCAGCCGTGAGCCCAGCTTCTGGCTAAGCAGCGCTCCCCCTGTGGGAGCGCACTGACCACCAGGGGGAAGCTCCTGCATTGAGTGGGACTGAGCCAAAATCAGCTCTCCAACATCCCCCAAGGGGTCCTGGATTGTGAGAGGGTGCAGGCCAGGCCAAGGGACCCAACTGGTGCACAATCGGGGCTGGGGAGGGACCGCAGGAGGGCTCTAGGGCGTGTTGGCACATCTCGCTCAGTCCCGATCAGCCGGACCCCAGCAGCAAGCTCACCTACCAGTTGGAGTGTCTGTCCCCTGGTGGTCAGTGCACATCATAGTGACTGGACAACCAGTCTACTCTCTGCCCCCTGGTGGTCAGTGCACATCACAGCAAGTGGTTGAGCGGCTTTAGCATGTCATTAGCATATTATGCTTTGATTGGTTGAATGGACAACCAGACAACCAGACACTTAGTATATTAGGCTTTTATTATATAGGATATTCTACATATCTAAATGTTTAAATCAACTGCAGAAAAAGCTAATAACAGCAAAACAACCTACAGAATAATTATAATTTTTGCTTTCATTCACTAAAGCCATTTATGTGGGTATAAACTTCTACATCTGATAAGAATCTAACTCATGTTAAAGGTTTTATTAAGTATTATTAAATAGCTAATAATTATCAAGTCAAGAAAGAAAATTAATAGAAGTTACCTAAATTAGCTCATGTTCCTCCCATTATAGATTTACAACTGTCTAATGTTCTGTCATTAAGGTCTCATTTTTGCAGTTAGACTAATAGATTTAGACACAAATTATATCAGGAAATGTTTTAAATATACAACTTTTCATTATTAGACAGTTTACTAAGAAAACATAAACAATGACATAGCATAAAAACCTAATATACTTGATTTGAATACTAACAATACAAATATCAGATTTGAGTGTGTTCAGAAAACTGAAAGGATATTTAGAAAAAAAGAAAGATAATTGCAGAATAAAAATTATCTAAGAATCAACTAAGAACAAGGAGAAAAAATCATTGCAAGAAAAGACAAAAATCCATTTTGAGAACTTGGAATAATAGAATTTTATAAAGAGAGGCACCATAATAAATCATATATTCCAAATTCTCATTTACCTTTCAGAAAATTGAGGTTCATGGAGTTTTTATGCCTTGACTGAAAAAGTAATTTAGCGGTAGAAGCTTGGCCTAGTACTTAGGTTCAATGGCCAACCACCCATATCCCTAATTAAGACATAATGAACTTTGTGATGATACTATACTAATTTTTTGTACATATAAACATGATTTGAGAGTAAATTGGTGATAAAAGTGAAAGTTATGTTGAGCATATTTCATGTGTTTATAATTAGTCTTCTCTCCCCTTTGATATAAGTAATTTAATCCTCAACTGAGGATATTTTTTCCATTGATTTTTTTTAGAGAGAATGGGAGGGGGGAGAGAGAGAGAGAGAGAGAGAGAGAGAGAGAGAGAGAGAGAGAAAAGAGAGACACAGCAACTGGTTGCCTCCCGCTCAAGCCCCAACCCAAGCCTGGGATCAAGTCTGCAACCAAGGTACATGCCCTTGGCTGGGAATTGAATCCACAACCGTTCAGCCCATAGGCCAATGCTCTAACCCAGTGGTCGGCAAACTCATTAGTCAACAGAGCCAAATATCAACAGTACAACGATTGAAATTTCTTTTGAGAGCCAAATTTTTTAAACTTAAACTATATAGGTAGGTACATTGTTATTAACTTAATTAGGGTACTCCTAAGCTGGCCTTTGCTAAAAACGTCCTCTATCTGATTGAGGTACGTTCGCTGAGGTTGACCCCTTCCAACTCTCCCATCCACACTCGTCTTGTATACAGATGAGTGTGGATGGGAGAGTTGGAAGGAGTCGACCTCAGGGAACGTACCTCAAAACAATGTACCTCCCCCGCGCTGCGTATCCCGTGGCCCACCTGCGCCGCGTCTCCCATCGCCCGACCCATTGCCTGACCCATTGCCCGAGCAACCGACCGACACCCCCCACTTCTTCTAACGCCACTTCTTCAAAATAGACTCACCCAGGCCGAAAAACGACTTCTGCACATGGGCCACGAAGTTTCAATTGCACTGTACGTGTGCGCCCACATGTGGAATTTTGTGGAAGAGCCACACTCGAGGGGCCAAAGAGCCGCATGTGGCTCGCGAGCCGCGGTTTGCCAACCACTGCTCTAACCACTTAGCACCATTTGGCAAACAGATATGATTTTAACAGAAACTTTTCAATGAGGTATAAAACCTCTTTAAGAGTTTATAAGGCTAACAAAGGTTTAATTTATACAACACCTATTCTTTTCTACTACTTTTCCTAAATAAACATTGAAGTAACTTTATTTTAAACTTTCTGTAAGCCAAACCACTCAGTCACAGAGTACTTTGATTCTATAGTATCCCATTTGTTCTCAAGCCACTGAATACTTTAATTAAATACATTTAACTAAATGTGCACAATTGTTCTAAATTTTTTTTTAAACATTTCTTTTTATTTATTTTTTTATTTATTTATTTTTTTTTATTGATTTTTTTATAGAGAAGAAGGGAGAGGGATAGAGAGTTAGAAACATCGATGAGAGAGAGATCGATCAGCTGCCTCCTGCACACCCCCTACTGGGGATGTGCCCGCAACCAAGGTACATGCCCTTGACCGGAATCGAACCTGGGACCCTTCAGTCTGCAGGCCGACGCTCTATCCACTGAGCCAAACTGGTTCGGCAATTGTTCTAAATTTTTTACATAATTTTAACTAAAGAGCTCTCCTTTCAATTTGATAAGAACTTATATATATTCCAACATGAGGGGAAAAAAGCAGTACTTAAAGAGGTATAATTAAGAAAAGGTTAGGATTATTTTTTAGGTTTAGTATATTTTACTTTTAAGCATATAAAGTATCTGAGAGGCAAACTTACAATCCCAATAGAAAAAGAAAAAAAAGCCTCAAACTAATAAGTACAGTAATCGAGTTGCCTCAAACATAACAGTAGTATTTACATGCAATACATTTCCAATACATCTTTCACCTTAGGATTTTTAAGTTTAGAAATGATAAGTTAAAAACCATCTTTGGATTGTGACTGGAGATAGAGATAAGAAGAAAAGATGATATATAGTAAAATAGGTAAGTCTGCAGACATTGTGCTACTTCCTCACTGTGTTAGCAAAATTTTTGTAACTTCTGTAAGTTTAAGGCTTATAGCAAAAGCAAAACAAAACTGCCCAAATATAAAGAGATAAAGGCCAAGGTTTAGAAACAGATGCAAAAGACCTCATTGTACAAGGAAAACATTTTCAACTTTTTTTAGCCTGAAGGTGTTACATTTCCATTTAAAATACTTTGGTAATAACTAATTTTGTCTTTACAACATCTAATCTCATTCATTCACACCTCCAACTTAAATGAGTTTACCGAACTACTAAATGACAAATTCGAATAAGACACTAACCTTTTTGAGAGCTCCTGTATGTTTCCAGGCTGACCTATCTTCCTCATTGCATTTGACTGAAAGTGCCGCAAGAGCTTGTGTGTACAGTAGGGCAAAAAGCACCTTCACAATGCAGGTGAAGTGGTCTACAAGAGAAAGAGAAGATTGTTATTTCTTTGAAATCTAGACATTTTATACTCAAGACTAGAGGCCCGGTGCACAAAATTCATGCACTCAATGGGGCGGGGGTCCCTGAGCCCGACTACGAGAGGGCACAGGCCAGGCCGAGGGACCCCACCGGTGCACGATCGGGGCCAGGGAGGGCCGGAGAGGGACTGCAAGAGGGCTCCAGGGTGTGTCTGGCCCATCTCGCTCAGTCCTGATCAGCTGGACCCTAGCAGCAAGCTAATCTACTGGTCAGAGCATTTGCCCCCTGGTGTTCAGTGCACATCATAGCAACTGGTCGACCAGTCGACTGTCTGCCCCCTGGTGGTCAGTGCACATCATAGTGAGCAGTTGAGCGGCCTTAGATATCATTAGCATATTACGCTTTGACTGCTTGACCGGACACCCAGACGACCAGACATTTAGCATATTAGGCTTTTATTATATAGGATAATTTCACAAATATATGCCTTTCTTTGCATGTGTAATTGATTTTTGTTCAACATTTAAGTAGTCAATAAAATGAGATTACAATGTGGTGATATATTTTCTACTCAACAGATCTGAAATTATGAAATCAAAGTTCCCTTAATCATCCACTGAATATGTAAATGAGAGGCATTTAGCATAGTGGAAGGTGTGGTATGTTTTAGAATACCAGAGCGCTAATGCCACTCAACCTCAGAATAGCTGTTCAACCTTGGCAAATCCCCTACTAGATATCATGTACTTAACAATGTCTGGTAGTCTGAGTGCTTAAAACCAGTACTTCGTCTACTTCTAATATGATATAGATCTTGTAAATAATAACATAATATAAAATAATACAATATAGAACTTCTAAAATAAAAAAATAAATCCCAATATTTTAGGTACTCTGAGATTTAAAATTCAATGAAAACCATAACAATGCAAAAACAAGAGTAACATTAATGCAAGATGCTTGGTACATATTAGGTACTTAATAAATGGTAGCTTAATAATCATAATTAATACTTATAAATACCTAATAACAGAAAATTGCCTCAAATGTCTCATTCAATCCTCAGAACAGTCTCAATTGGACAAGTAAGCTTCAAAAGGATGTGCCAGTGGTAACAAAGCTAATAAGCACATGATGTGTGTGGATTCTGAACTTGAATCCACACACATCAATCAGATTCAGTGTTCCTTCTATTATCTTATGCTGTTCAGTTGGTGGGCATCATCCCATGCACCAAAAAGTTGCTGATTCGATTCCCCATCAGGTCACATGCCTGAGGTTGTGGGCTCGATCCCCAGTAGGGGGCATGCAAGAGAAAGCCAACAGATGTTCTGCTCTCACATCAATGTTTCTCTTTCTCCCTTTCCCTTCCTCTCTCTCTCTAAAAATCAATAAAAAAAAAAAATTTTTAAAGCCCTAGCTGGTGTGACTCAGTTGATTGTCATCCCATGCACTGAGAGGTCGCTGGTTCCATTCCTGGTCAGGGCACATGCCAGGATTTTGTGCAGAAAGCAGCTGTTCAATGGTTCTCTCTCATCAATGTTTCTCTCTCTCTCCCTCTCCCTTCTCTCTCTAAAATCAATTTTAATAAATTTATTTAAAATACATATTTTTCAAAGGTCAAATTGAAGTACACACAAATAATATCCTCTCCAGTAACAAGGCTTTTATACACCCACAGATGTATAAAAACCTTTCTTTCTTTCTTTCTCTCTTTCTTTTTCTTTCTTTCTTTCTTTCTCTCTTTCTTTCTTTCTTTCTTTCTCTTTTTCTTTCTTTCTTTCTTTCTTTCTTTCTTTCTTTCTTTCTTTCTTTCTTTCTTTCTCTCTTTCTTTTTCTTTCAATCAAATGTTACAAAAGTAACATTGTTTAATTAAACCATACAGGTTTCAAGTGTACAACTCAACAAAACATCATCTGCATACTGCATTGTGCACACACTACCCAAAGTCAAGTCTCCTTCTTTCCTCATTTATCCCACCTTTCCCACTTCCACCTTGCCCCACCCCCCTTTCCCTCCGGTTATCATCATACCATTGTCCATATCTATGTGTCATACACACACACACACACACACACACACACACACACACACACACACTAAAGGCCCAATGCACGAAATTCGTGCAAGAATAGGCCTTCTTTCCCCCGGCTGCTGGCACCTGCTTCCCTCTGACACCTGGGACCCAGGTTTCCCTCTGGCCTCTGGTACCCAGAACCCGGAATCCAGGACCCGGGCTTCCCTCACAGCCCTGGCTTCATTCAAATGGTCGTCCGGAAGGACATCCAATCTAATTAGCATATTACACTTTTATTATAGTATATATTTTTTTGCCTAATCCTATAACTTTTTCTCACCCAGCCCCCCAACCCCCTCTCCTCTGAAAGCTGTCAGTCTGTTCTATGTATCTATGCCTCTGTTTCTATTTTATTCGTTAAATCATTTTTAGATTCCACATATAAGTGAGCTCATATGGTATTTATCTTTCTCTGACTGGCTTATTTCACTTAGCATAATAATTTTCAGGTCTCTCCATGCTGTAGCAAAAGGTAAGATTTTCTTCTTTCTTTTGGCCAAGTAGTATTCCATTGTGTAAATGTACCACAGCTTTTTTATCCACTCATCTACTGCTGGGTACTTGGGCTATTTCCAAATCTTGGCTATTATAAATAATGCTGCCATGAACATAGGGGTACCTATATTCTTTTGAATTAGTGTTTCAGGTTTCTTCAGATATATTCCCAAAAGTTGGATTACTGGGCCAAAAGGTAGTTCCATTTTTAATTTTTTGAAGAAACGCCACACAGTTTTCCACTGTGGCTACACTAGTCTGCATTCCCACCAACAGTGTATAGGCCTCTCTTTCCTTCACATCCTTGCCAGTACTGGTTGTTTGTTGATTTACTGATGATAATCATGACAGCTGTGAGGTGATATCTCATTTTGGTTTTAATTTGCATTTCTCTGATGATTAGTGACAATGAACATCTTTTCATACATCTATTGGCCATCTAAATGTCCTCTTTAGAGAAGTGTCTACTCAAATCCTTTGCCCATTTTTTAATTGGTTTGTTATGCTTCTTGGTATTGACTTATAAAATTCTTTATATATTTGAAAATTAATCCCTTATCAGATTTATTATTGGCAAATATGTAGTGGGCTGCCTTTTCATTTTGTTAATGTTTTCTTTTGTTGTACAAAAGTTTTTTAGTTTTATGTAGTCCCATTCATTTTTTCCTTTGTTTCCCTTGCCTGAAGAGATATATTAACAAAAATATATTGCCCTAGCCAGTTTGGCTCAGTGGATAGAGTGTCGGCCTGCGGTTCGATTCTGGGCAAGGGCATGTACCTTGGTTGCGGGCACATACCCAGTGGGGATTGTGCAGGAGGCAGCTGATCAATGTTTCTCTCTCATAGATGTTTCTAACTCTCTCTATCCCTCTCCCTTCCTCTCTGTAAAAAATCAATAAAATATACGTAAAAAAAAAATATTGCTATGAGAGAGTCTGAGAGTTTACTGCCTATGTTTTCTTCTAGGATTTTTATGGTTTCCCGACTTTACATTTAACTCTTTTGTCCATTTTGAGTTTATTCTTATGTATGGTATAAGTTGGTGGTCTAGTTGCATTTTTTTCTGCATGTACCTGTCCAATTTTACCATTTAATGAAGAGACTGTTTTTACTTCATTGTATGTTCTTGCCTCCTTTGTCAAATATTAATTGACCATTGATTTACTTCTGGGCTTTCTGTTCTATTCCACTGATTTATATGCCTGTTGTTATGCCAGTACCAGGCTGTTTTTACAATAGCCTTGTAGTATAATTTAATATGAGGTAGTATGATACCTCCAATTTTGTTCTTCTTTCTCAAGATTGCTGAGGATACTGAGGGTCTTTTGTGGTTCCTTATAAAATTTTGGAATATTTGTTCTAGACCCCACAGATGTTTTTTCTAGTATAACTTAAATAGCACAAAAACAAACAGAAAAAAGCAAAAACCTGTTTTCCACCAAAGGAGAATAGTTAATTACTTGACAGAATAGTTTAAATGTTTTCAAATAAAAACTGGAGCAATTAAAATGTTTGTAGTATAATATTAATATCAATATTATAACATTAACACTAATTAAAAATGATGGGACATCACATTTGAATAAATCTATGATATTACTATATTAAAATGTACTAGTATATGCATGTAAATAGGGTGGAGCCATTAAGGCTGAAAGTTTGCTTTATTTTTCACGTTTTTGTATTATCACTTTAATTTTTTTAAAACAGGTTTTCAGAGTGGTTTCCCATGTCTTTACCTCATTATGGACTAAGAAGCTAAAAAAAATAGACCTTTAAGGGAAAAAACAATTTTGTTTCATTGTCATTTTCTTTATATATATATGATTACTATTTACTAAAAATAGAAAAAACAATGTTATTTACCTTTAAATAATTCCATCAGATGAATGCTACATTTGTTGCTACAATTAGTAGGATATTCATTATATATACTATGTAATCTAAGAATCTGAATTATAAAGATATACCTTTGCGTAAGGGTTGTGGCATCATTAAAATCTGGATGAGCAAAAGGGATGTAACATCATGATAAAGAATTGGAACCTCAGGCTGTTGTTCTTCATTTCCCAACCTAAAAGAAAATGCATAATCACTTCAGACAGTATTGTACATCTTTTCTTTCTAATTCATTTTCTATTTTACACAAATGCCTATGGATCAGAAATCAAACTTTCATATGCAACTGAGAAATCTCAAAAGAAAAAGCTAGGGGCTTTAATTTTTGCCTAAAAAATAATCTTTTTTATCTTTTTTAATCCTCACCCAAAGATATGTTTTCACTGACTTTAGAGAGAGGAAGGGGGGGGGGGGAGAGAGAGAGAGAGAGAGAAAGAGAGAGAGAGAGAGAAACACTGATGGGAGAGAGAAACATCAATAAAGAATCCTTCAGAAATATTTAAAAAATAAGATACAAACAGAAAAATATACAGATGTCCTAAATATGTAATTCACAGATTATACACAAATGGCTAATAAATATGAAATATTTATATAAAGTTAACTTCACTAGAAGTTATATAGATTTCTCTTACTTTAAGATCCCCTTTTTTTTTAATTTCAGAAAGAGAAAGGGAGAGGGCGAGAGATAGAAACATCAATGATAACAGAGAATCATTAATCAGCTGCCTCCTACATGCCCCCTACTGGGGATTGAGCACCAAACCCTGGCATGTGCCCTGACTAGGAATCAAACGTTCAACCACTGAGCCACACCAGTTGGGCATGAGATCCCAATTTTTGTCTCTCAAATTATCCCCAAAATATTTTTAAGTACTAATATTCAAGATTGACAGAAATGAGGACATTCTTAGATTGACAATTTAAGTTTATATAGGTACAATCTTTCTGAGAAGCAATGTTGCTCTGTACAACACAGTTCCTAACACTCAGTGAATATTTATCAAATAAATTACTGAAATAATCTAAAACATTATGTTATTCTATAGTTTCATGTTATTCTATAGTTCTAGGTTACATCTAACATGTCAAGAACTGCTTAACACATCATCTGATATTATGGTGGGAAAAGAAAAATTAAATAATTAACAAGAGAAATGAATGAATAAATAAATTAGGTACATCATTTAAAGAATTTTTAATGATAAGGGAATCTGGTTGTTATATATTAATTTAAAATTCTAAAACTGATAGACTATGAATCAAATAGTATTCTAAAATTTATAATATATGTACATATAAAAAAGAAAATGAAAAAATATCTCATAATGTTAAAAGTATAAGAGGATATCTCAGAAAATATGATTTATCCCTATATTTGCTCTCGTTTTTATGGTTGATGAGTTCATTAAACTGTAATAAACTATATATAACACATAGTTTATAAGATTCTAGATCATTTCATTCTCATCTTCAACATTTTTGTATGTTCTAAGCATTGTACAATAAATATAATTTTTATAATAAAAAAAATGTAAAAATAATAAACTGGAGCTTGTTGGCTACTAAGATAAAAACAATCATTCTGAGGACATAGAAATGGATTTTCCTGGCACACAGTAGGCACATACTATGAATTAATTAATTAATTAACTAACTAATTAATTAATTCACCCCACTGTCAAAAGAGAAGCATAGATTTTGACTGTGGGGTTTAATAACATCATTGTGATAATTATCCTTTAAATGCTTAATATTTAAAATACATAATTATTTCTGATGGCCAAGAGACATATGAAAAATGCTCAAAGTCACTAATTATCAGAGAGATGTAAATTAAAACCATAATGAGGTATGACCTCACACCTGCCAGAATGGCTATCATCAACAAATCACAAACAAGAACTGTCAAGGATGTAGAGCAAAGGGAACTCTAGTACACTGCTGGTGGTAATGCAGAATGGTACAGCCACTGTGGAAAACAGTATGGAGTTCCCTTAAAAAATTAAAAGTAGAACTCCCATTTGACCCAGTGATCCCACTTCTAAGAATAGAATCCTAAAACACCAATCAGAAAGAATATATGCACCCTTATGTTCATAGCAGTGCTATCTACAATAGCTAAGATCTGGCAACAGCCCGAGTGCCCATCAGTAGATGAGTGGATAAAAAAGCTGTGGTACATTTACACCAGGGAATACTATGCAGCAGTAGAAAATAAGGTTCTCTTACCCTTTGAGACAGTATGAAAGGACCTGGAGAATATTATGCTAAGCGAAATAAACCAGTCAGAGAAAGACAAGTATCACATGATCTCACCTATATGTGGAATCTAATGAACAAAATAAACTCACGAACAAAATAGATCCAGAGACATGGAAGCATGCAACAGACTGACAAATCTCAGAGTGAAGAAGGGGAAGGGGTAACAGATTAACCAAAGAACTTATATGCACATATGCATAACTCATAGACACACACAACAGTGCAGTGAAGACCTGGGGAGGGGACGGGAGTGGGATGTAGGGGGACATCTGTAATACTTTCAACAATAAAGATAATTTTTTAAAATATGTAATTGTTTCTAACTTCTAAAGTTTTTAGCTAATCTTTAAAAAAATCTAGATTATAAAAACTGTACACTACTATTAACTCTACAGATGATAAGAGAAAATGGGTGGGTTAGTGTTAATAGGCCTAATTTTCCCATTATTTTTTCTTAAACCAAATGATTGTTAATACAATAAAATTAAAAGGAAATAAGAAAATAATTTTCATGAGGATTACAGAAAAAGCATATATGAGAAATCTATATCATTAGACATAGAATTTGATGAATAAGTATTAAAAGTGAGAAAATAGGAAAAGATACTTCAATTCTTAAAAATCTAATATTGTAGATATAAAACAGATGATATTATTAGTATTACAACTTAGTGAACTAGTGAACCATACTGGAAATTCCTCAGATCTGTAGACTAACAGTTAAGAAGTTAGGCTCTGAATTGAAATTAAAAGTTGAATCAGAGGGTTTTGGATTCAAATACCAGCTCTATTCCTTAAAAGCTGCATATCCCAAAAGAGTATGTTAATTAACTTTTCTAAGCCTCAGGTTCCTCATATGTAAAAACTGGGATAACAATGGTACCTAGTGTACAGCGTTATGGTGATGATAAAATGAGTTTATACACACAAAGTACAAAAATGCCTTACCATGAAATAAGCACTAGATAAGTGTTCACAGCATTTACTACTATCCTAATGGGTATTTATCTTAGGGCTTAAAAAGAATACAACCCAGCAATCAATATTATGGAAAGCATAGTACCTATGTCTGTTCTTTCAATATATTTTTTTAAATCCTCATCTGAGGATATCCTTTCCACTAGTTTCTAGAGAAAGTGGAAAGGTGGAAGGAGGGAGGAAATGGGAGAGAGAGAGAGAGAGAGAGAGAGAGAGAGAGAGAGAGAGAGAAAGAGAGAGAAAGAAACATCAGTTGGTTGCCTCCCGCATGCGCCCCCATTGGCTGGGGAAGCTGCAACCAAGCTACCAAGCTACGTGCCCTTGACTGGGAATCGAACTGGCAACCCTTCAGTCCACAGGCCGACACTCTAACTACTGAGCAAAACTGGACAGGGCTTCTCTTTCAACTTTTAATTCAACAATACTACACTTAAGAAATCTTTCATTTGCTGAACATCTTTAGACTCAGAGAATTAGGTATGCTAATACTTTATGCACACCATCCTTATCCCTGGGTATGCAAGTCTAGCTAAGAAAGAAAATCACTAGCTAATATGAACAAAAGTGATTTTCCTTAGCCATAATATGCAAAATACTTACAGCTTGCTCATTTTGTCTATAAACACAAAACACACACACACAATTTTATTTTGTTTTGAAGAAGTAGCAGGATGTATTCATAACTTCAAAGTATCTCCCACAGATACTAACTACAAGGGATAAAATAACTTTACAGTGAAAAAACCTAGCAGATACCACATTAACCAAATGATGAGAATTACTATCATCAATAACAAGACAAATCAACAGCATGTGCCTCCTGATATAACACAGTAAAAAGAACACATTACTTCTGTGGTATTTCTGCCAAAAGTTTATAGCCCGAATCTAACTACAAGGAAATATTAGACAAAAATAATTTGAGAAATTCTACAAAATAATTGGCCTAAACCCTTCAAAAAAGAAGTCAGTGTCATAAAATACAAAGAAAAAGTCAGGAACAATTTCAGATAAAGGAAACTAAAGAGACATGACAACTAAACACAAGCATGATTTTGAATGGTCTTTGCATTGCATTTGCATTTCCCAGGATATTACTGAAACAACTAGCAAAATCTGAACAGGTTCTGTATGAGGTAAGGGTCAACATTAATTGCTTCTCATATAAATAGTCAATTAACCATCATCATTCACCATAAAGACTACGCTTCCCCCTCCTCAGAGCCATCTATACGATAAATCCAACATCCAGTAAAGGGGTGGGCAACCCCTGGCATGCATGCCAAATATGGCACGCCAGTAACTTTTGCTGGCACGCGAAACCCTCTCTTATAATCTTCCATTTACAATTTTTTTCTTAATATCGACTTTTTTATTTTTCAGATAAATTTAGTGTAGGTGCATCTTAGATAAATAAATAATTTTACATAACAAGTTATCTTAAAGACCATAGACATGGATTGACGGGAGAGGAGAAGAGCAATTTCAATAGTGTCGAAAATGAACTACTGAGGACTTGGAATGCCATTCCAGAAAATTTTTTCTGTTTAAAAAACTTTGCAACAGTGTTACTCTCCATGTTTTCATCTACATACGCTTGTGAATCTTTGTTCTCAGTGATGAATTTTGTTAAGTCTCATAATAGGAGTAGCCTGACAGATGAAAGTAGTAGCTCGTGCATATCTCTGAAGGTCACGAAATATTAACCTGATGTAAAATCTCTGTCATCAGTGATGCAGCAGCAGAAGTCCCACTGATAATATCAAATGGAGTCATAAAGTTTTCTGTCGGACTATCAGTGTACATGTATACATTAAAAAATAAAGGTATTTTTCATCATCATATACTGTGTTTTTGTCGCTCGAATGAATTTTATTATTTCTTCAAGGTTCTTCACATACGTACACCTTAAGAGATATCAAGTAGGCATAACATGTTCTCAAAAAATTAGGGTTGGCACGCAGAAGAATTTTGAGTCAGAGATTTTGCTGGCTTTGGCACGCACTCACAAAAAAGTTGCCCACCCCTGATCTAGTACAACCGAAGAAAGGTTTTTTAAAATCACTATGTTGCAGCATCTAATGAAATATCAGATTAAGGCAAGAATCATAAGGGATTGCAAAAATCATTAGATGAAAGGCTGATAGGGAACTTTACAATGGAGGGATCAGGCTTAGGCTACCTGAACCCACTGATCAATTCTGACATAAAAAGAGGCACAACCAGCTATTGTGTACATCCATTTGAACGTTTTATCTGCATTTTTCAAAAACAGTTTTAATTAACTTTAATCTTTCAGTAATACTTACTGCGAATTCATCTCTTCTAACTGAGTAAGCTTTCTCCAGGGATTAAACTCAGAATCAATGCTATAAAGCCGCATGTGCAAGGCTAATACATGGAACAGTTGATCTAAATAAGTTAAAGAAAGAAAAGGTAATTAGAAAGTTTACAAAATTCTTCCAGGACAAAATTCAGACAAACTGTCTAATCCATAAAGGAATGTTTCCTATTCTTATAATTCACCAGGTTTAAGTACCAACTACTTCATGCTCTCTTTTAAGCTAAATTCTGAAATATATCTAAATAATTTCAAGTAGTGTCTGGACTGTCCTTATAGTCCATCTTAACAGGAATGGTTCCTTTTCCTCATCTGTCATAGACCTACTTTTCCTGGGCTTTATGCCACAGCTTTACAACATGTGCTTCTCACTATTGTGGTCTCTTCCTAACCAAAATTATCTTCAATACCCTACCCTGAATAATATGGACAATAACAACCATATAAATCAGTTAGGTGAAGTATTTTTCTTTACTTAATATTTTCCCCAACATCTTTTTTAGGTTGAATTTTTACTTTATTTATCATCTTTTGATTCAACCTGAAGGAAAAATACAGCCCTGGTAGTTGTGGCTCAGTTGGTTGGAGATTCTTCCCATGCACTGATGGGTC